TTTCGGGCCTAAGGGTCTAGGCCCGAAACGTCAGCCTTCCTGCTCCTCTGATGCTGCTTGACCTGTTGTGTTCATCCAGCTCTACACCTTGTTATCTCAGTTTTCTTCATTCATCAGTCTACTGTATTAACAGAAACATAATAACAGTGTTGAATTAGTGACTACTTTTGGATAAAATTGATTTAATGCAGTATTTAGGTTTGGGGTTAGATCAAGTTTGAAATTTAGGTCAGATTCAAAATTAGAATCATGTATTCACATTAAACTCCTAATAGGGTTTTATCAATTTTGACAAATGCAAATAACTACTGGACATACTCATGTAGAAGTAAAATGTTTTAGACTGCTTTTTAAGATCAAAATTATGGGGTTGACAATTGTGTGGATATTACTTTTGAGGGGCTGAAATTCATGCTACAGTCCAAAACACCAAATCATTAGCAGAAGCCCAATTGATCTTTAAATGAATAAAGAGAAAAAAACAACAAATGATGGTAATTACTGTAATATCTTATCTTCTAGTTCAGCAAGCAGCTTTCGTGCAATCTTAGTTCTCTGCTAAAGTACTAAGTCATGCCTTCTCATGAACCTTGGGTACCATCCGGCACTTGCTTTAAAATCCGAAATTTCATCCTTCATTGAATCGTTTCCTGCATGGTTTCAGATGGCTTCATGACTGACACATTTTCCATTTTGATGATTTTCAAGTACCCCCTCAGCAACTTTTTTCTCCAATTGAGGTCACTTGCTATGTTTTCTTTTGTTGGCACTCTTTCACTTTGGCATTGTCTGAAGTTGGTTTGATATCTTTCTCCAATCTCTCACAGGTTTCTCTGAAACACAAAATTCTCTTGCTGCTACACAATTATTTATCTTCTCTGCAACTTCAGCAACTTTCAGTTTAAACGCTGCTGTATATTTTCTGTTTTTTCTGGAGAGCATTTTTACACAAAATGATGAAGAAATTTCAAAATACATAATAGCATGAAAAAATCCATTTCTTCATTGTAATATTTATGTACAGGATAATACCTTGACTCACAAATGTTGATCTGTTATCTGTGAAGAATTAGGGTCAACCTTTACATGAGATATATGGAAAATTCCAGATTTTTTGGCCAAAAATAGGGGGTCAACTTTTACATGAGATTGACTTTTACTCGATTATATACGGTAAAGAACATTGGTCATTAGAACAAAGATTTATATGTTACTTTAAAATAACAGTAGCTCCATTGTTTTTCTGCAACTCAAACTGCAACCACCCTTTTTATGCAAAAGATGTTAAAAAGACATTCTATGTTAGTAGGTTTCTGTTTGACGTATTCCTCCTATGGCAACAAGATCACACTGGCAAGTCTTAAAGCTGAGATTTTTACTGGAATTTCCTGCTTTACTTGGAGTTAGTGGTATAATTCAAAGCATAGCCATCTTCTAATGTTCAGCATTCATGACATGGTAGCTCAAGGTTTGAAGTTATACTTTGGCTAAGGCAATTTTATCTGGCAAGGAAGCTTTATTTTATTGAAGTATTTGTTTTGTTGGAAGAGATTCCTTAGTGGAATAAATTTGCTAAAGGGTAGATTGTTTATTGTGTTATAATCAGCCATGACCACGATGGTGAAGCATAACTTATTAACCCGACATTTCAAAATATATTGATTATGTGCAAGGGGACTGAAACTGGTCATACTTGTACGTGATTATATAGACAGTAATATCGAGGATTTCATAAGAAGGTATTAATTGGATGCTTACCAGAAATTATTGTATAGCATTTTGTTCAAAAGCGTTAAATTCTCATGAGAAAAAAAACATGTTTCAGAATAAAATAGCTATTCATCTGTTATAAGGTTCTGTAGTGATCAAATATTGAAATATTCTCCCCAGTGTTAAAGATTTATTGCCTATGAGGTCCTGCAATTTGCCTTGAAGTGCAAGGTTGAGAGAAAATTTTGGGGTTGGGAATGTGTAGAAACTAAAAATTTACCAATATACATATGGTGTGAGTATGCTTTGAAGGACCATGAAAATGACATCTGTGAAAAATGAAAACTTATCGGGATTGAATAATATAGATTATCAAGTTTTAAATCAGTTATAACAGTCATTATCGGGGATAATGAAGAAATTTTAAAGTTCTCCGTGCTTCAGTCCACATTTTCAGGATACGGACGGATCATTGAGTTTTTCATATAATTAGTAATGGTAGATTGAGGATGTTCATTTTGCTGACACATTTGGAGAGCAGTCTAACAAAATGAAACCTTTATATGTTATTTAAACATTTTAGAATCAGGAAGTGCTTGAATATTGTTTTTTCTTTCCCTGACCAGACTTGAGTCCTTGCTATCTTTTTGGTCTTCTGCCTCTGATAAATTATGAACGTCATGGATTTGATCTTTGCTTCATGAGCCAGTAATATCACCCATATCTAAATAGAGAATATACGTCTATGCCAAGCAGCTGCCTATAAAACAGGGTGCAAAGCATTGCAGGATAGGTTTTCCGTTTTCTATTTTTCTGAGTGCACAACAATTACAGAGTGCTCTGTGGAAATGAATGCTCAGTTTATGAAATACTTTGCAATTATTTGCATAGCTTCAACTCTTTTGAACACGCAGGTATGTAAGTATGAAATTACAATATTGCAGGAGATCGTGAGTTTATGTAGTGAAATATTAAGTCATTTTCCATTACAGCACTCTATTGAAAGAAAGTTACAAATTGTGCAACAGTGGCAAAATATCTCCTGTTTCCTGAGATTTTGCATGACAAGTACCCAATGGGGAAAGCACCAAACCTGGGGCAGGCTCTTCTGACAGGAGGGATGGGAAAAGTGGTGGTTTTGTTATTTTGAAGATGCCTCTTCTTGTAACTTGTCACAGCTGGTAAAGGAATTGTTAACAGCTGAAGCCTGGGTGCAAGCTGTCTATTTATGCTTCCTCTGGACAACAAAATATGGTGCATTTCAGCAATGCAAGATTTTAGTGCTATCAGAAATAGGTTTTATTCTGTAAAATAAGAGTGTCAGTAGCTTTGGTTTACATTATTATGGAGATAGTGGACCAACCAATCTCACTTTGAAATCTATAAGTATTTAAGTTAATCCTAACTTATTCCTTTCTTATCTATAGCACATACATCTGATTGTCTATCTTCATATATGAGAAGATAAGAGATACAGTAGCTTTTGAATGATAGCAAAGATATTTTACAGCTAGTTTATGGGAAAAGTATCTACAAAAACGTTATTAATGACTACTGAGCTACTGAGTACTAAGTGACTACTCAGCAGGTTGTGTTTGTGACAGCTATTGCTAGAACAATCCAAAACTCCCTTATGTATTGCCTGGCTGTTATTAATATTGCAGTTTGAATATGCAGGAAGGTATATAAGCTGGTGCTCACAAAAGAGAGAAGAGAGAAAGATAATAGAAACATTTAACAGCAACTGATTTATGACTGCTTTGTGCCACACTGGATGTAATATTGTAGTATCTAAGCTAGTGGATGATTGCAGTGACATTATTAATAATGTAATTCTGCCTCTTCTCATAGGCTGACTGTGCTGCTATTGGGCCAATGGAGGCTGTGCTCCAGAGAGTCCGAAGAATGACTCCTCTCTGGAGATGGATCACTTACAGGCCCCTTGGATCCTCTTGCAGGAGCAATGGGGAGTGTAGCTCAAAATATTGCAGGTAAATAGGGAAAATCTTGACAAAATAACATAAAGATTATCAAGGCCAGTTTTTCAGTTATGGTCTGACTAGAAGGGGCTTATGAAGTTAACCAAAAATAATTAATTGTTATTAATCTTAATTGTGTCTCTGAACATTTAAACTTGAGTGTGCTATTGATTTATCAAAGAAAACCCATCTCTGGAATCAACATATTGTAAACAATCTGTTTAAATAAGACGAATTGAAAGAAGAATTTAGTCTTCGCCAAAATCATAAATTGCACCCTTTATAGACATCAAATGCAGGAAACAGCAGTTTTTGATACAGTCAAAATTCAGATACATTGTATATGTGAAAATGTAATAAACCAAAAACAAGAAACTAGAAACGAAAACTCAAACACCCAACAATTGTATAAGTACCTTTTTTTATACAGTAAATGGTGATAGGCATTATGATGACGATGCGATCCTTCAAAGTGCTTTAAATAAATAAGAAAACACCGCATTGGATTATCATGCAAACAATTTCTATTTTACTCTTTATGCTAATCCAAGAATTATCTTATTCTTGCAGAGAGAAGCGCTGCAGCTTGACTACCTATGAAGTATGAAACTTAAACAACGTGTTTGTCAAGAATCCCAGATGTAATATAAACCATTTTGACCATTGTATTTATGTAAATTATTTATGCCCAATCTCGCTGTGTAAATTAATTGATAACCAATGTTCTCCAGTAAATGTATTGTATACAATGTTGACTGCAAGTGAATTTTAATGTACTTTTTTGTATAAACAACAAATTAAGCTTGAATAAAACATAAAAATCTATTGTCTGAAAGTTATTCAAATTCAATGATGCTTTGGAGTATGAAAATTGAAATAAACATATGTCTTGCTTTTCCTTATGCCAGTGGGTTATGATTGGTGGAGTGCAACTGTGCTCTTAGTCTACTGGCAGATTTTGCTATTGTCATGTGACCTCAACCTCTTTTGTCTTTGTGTGCAATTTGTGGCAGCTATTAAACACATAATTTGGAGCATGGTATCTGTGTGGAACAGCTAGAAATGTGTGGAATTTCAGTGCTCTAAGATCTGACTACCAAAAGAAAGAAATAAAAAAGGTCTGCAACTTTGAATTACTGGGCGTGTCAAAATGGATGGGCATTTTCCATTCATTGCTGTGGTGGAAATGAAATGAGATATGATACCTAATTGGAATTTCTTCCACTTTCAGTGGAAAATCTATAAAATCGGTACAGAATTAGAAAACCTGAGCATATGTGGTTACAAGGTCTGGTGTGTTGGGGGTGGGGTCTAGGACATAGGAGTGTTCAAGTCTTAAAGTTATTGAACTCGATATTGAGTCCTGAAGACTGCAGGGTCCCCCAAGTGGAAAGTGAGGTGTTGTTCTTCCAGCTTACACTGAGCTTCACTAGAGCACAGCAGCAAGCCTGAGACACGATACTGGCAACAGACTTTAGAACTGACTAGTTTCCTCCAAGAGAGAGTCATTTATATCCTGATGGACTATACAAAGGTTCCAGAGTTGACCCTTTCAGGCCAATTGCCCTATATAACAAAGAACATGATGTAAATATTATCGAGGACATCAGTCAAAAGAAAAGGAAGCAATAATAATCTGCCTTCCTACTTTTGCTACCAAATTGGATAACCTCACATTTATCCACATTCACATCATACTGCCATGCATTTATCCACTCACCCATTCCAAATGACACTGAAACATCTCTGCAAAACTCATCCTTCCACCCAGCTTTGAGTCATCTGCAAATTTTGAGATATTGTATTTATTTCCTTCATCTAAAGCATGAATATATATATATTAATATATAAATTTGTGAATGGCTGGGGTCCTAGTACTTATCCCTGTGTTACCCACTAATCATTGCCTACCATTCAGAAAAAGATCCATTTATTCCTACTCCTTGTTTTCTGTCAGCTAACCAATTTTCTATCCATCTCAATACATTAATTTCAATCCCATGTGCTTTAACTTTACATCCCTTAATCAGGACTTTGTAGAAAGACGTCTGAAAGTCCAAATAAACTACATCGATTGGTACGTCCCGATCAACTCTAAGAATTCTAGTATTTGTCAAGCATGATTTTCCTTTTATAAATCCATGCTGATTGTCTGATGATTCCACTATTTTCTAAGTGCTCTGTTATAAAATCCTTGATAATGGACTCTAGCATCTTACTCACTATCAATATCAGAATCATTGGTTTATTATTTCCTGTTTTCCCTCTCGCTCCCTTTTTTAAATAGTGAGGATACATTAGCAGCTCTTCAATCTGTAGGAACTCTTCCAGAGTCTAAAGGATCTTGGAAGATAACCACCAATGCATCCAATATTTCTAGGGCCACTTCTTTAAGTATGCTGAAATGTAGATTATCAAGCTTTGGGGATATATCAGCCTTCAACTTTATCACTTTCTTTGACATCATTTCTCTACAAATACAGTTTTGCTTCAGTTCCTCCCTCACACTAAACCCTATGTTCATTTCTGATACATTATTCACATCCTGCTTTGTGAAGGCAGAACAAAAGGACAATTTTTAGTTTGCAGAAATCTCTAAGCTGTGAGACTTTGTAGAAGTCTCCAGGCTTTGAGTGTTGGAAAGCAAATTTAAATGGTTTCTGCAGCCCAAAGAGACAGACTGAAAAGAAGCAGTTGAGTGAGAAATTAAAAATTGAAGATAGGAGTGATATTTGTGATTGAACATCTGAAAAGGATGTTGACGGGAAAATGTTTGAATCTTTTTTTTTGCTGTTTATATTAAGGTCTGTCTACATTTTCCTATAGGCATAGCTTTTTAAAAAATATTTTCTGTAATAGATGTTAATATTCTGATATTAAAAGTACATTGGCAGCTTTATGTGAATATGTTTAGTGACTGACCAGCAGGGTAACCAAGTTGCAAAAATAAAATTTATAATCCATCAAGCCAGATTTCACTCTGGGATTGGACATGTCCAGTTATGTACATTAATGACTGGGATGTGAATGCAAAGATATAATTAGTAAGTTTGCAGATGACATGCACATTGGTGGTATTGTTGATAGTGAGGAGGATGGTGTCAGGCTACAGTCTGACATTGATCAGCTGGTAAATTGGGCAGATCATTTACAGATGGAATATAACCCTAATAAGTGTGAGGTGATATGTTTTAGGAGGTGTAATAGGGAAGGATTTACACAATAAATTGTAGGTCCCTAGAGAGTACTGAGGAACAAAGAGACATTGGTGTATAAGTCCATAGATTCCTGAAGGTATCAGTACAGGTAGATAGGGTGGTAAAGAAGGAATACAAAATGCTTGCCTTCATTAGCCAGGACATGGAATATAGGAGCAGGAAAAATTTGTTGCAACTTTATAGAGCATTGGTTATGAGGAGAGACTGGAAAGGCTGGGTTTGTTTTCCCTGGACCAGTGGAGGCTTGGAGGGATCTGACTGAGGTATACAAAATTATGAGAGGCATAGATAAGGTAGATCCTGAGAAACCTTTCTCCATGGCAGATATATCCAACACCAGAAAATATAACTTTTAGGTGAGGAGTAAATAGTTTACAGGGGATCTGAGAAAAAGTTTCTTTTACCCAGAGGGTGGTAGAAATATGGAACATGCTACCAGAGAGGGTGGCGGAGGCAGGTAATGTTGCAACATTTAACAAAAGTCTGGATGAACACTTAAAATACCAGGGCATAGTAGTGTATATACATTCAATGAGAAGCAAGAACTTCACCTGATCTGGAAATTGTAGTAACATTGAATATGAAAGTAAGTATCAAATCAAGAAAATTCTGAAAATAAAGATGCAACTCTCTAATGGTTGCAGGAAGCAGTAATGAATGGGTGACCTGAAAAGAAAAACAAAGACATGCTTATTGCAATTAGACAGATGGAGAGGAAATGATAAACTAAGATGTCATCTTGTGTAAAAGAAATAGAGTCATTATCCCCGAGGGAAAAATAAAAGAGATATGGAAACACATCAATGCAAACCATCAACGAATTGAGTCTAGGCTGACGAAGGCAAGTGAAGTGCTTTACTGTTCAAATATGAGCAATAAGATTAAGGACCATCAGCCAGTGTAGTGATTGTGACACATGCAAAGGTACAGAGCTATTTATGACACAGTCTCGTGGTAGACCAATTACTCTGAGATGAGGAAACATTTCATCACTTCTAGTCTCCCTGCTATTAGGAAGGATGTTGCTAAACTTGAAAGGGTTCAGACAAGATTTATGAGGACGTTACCAGGATTGGACGGTTTGAGCTATAAAGAGAAGCTGAAAAGGCTGAGGCTATTTTCTCTGGAGAGTTGGAGGCTGAGGGGTGACATTATAGAGACATTTAAAATCATGAGGGGCATGGACAGGGTGAATAGCTTGGGTCTTTTCCCGGGGTAGGGGAGTCCAAAACTAGAGGGCATGAGTTTAAGGTGAGAAGGGAAAGATTTAAAAGGGACCTAAGGGCCAACTTTTCATGCAGAGGGTGGTGTGTGTATGGAATGAACTGCCAGACGAAGTGGTGGAGGTTGGTACAATTACAACATTTGTAAGGCATCTGGATGGATATATGAATAGGAAGGATTTAGAGGGTTATGGGTCAAATGCTGGCAAATGGGACTAGATTATTTTAGGATATCTGGTTGGCAGGGACAAGTCCGTTTCCATGTTGTATAACTCTATGTCCCGAAGGGTAGTGAGCCTATGGAGGCTAAATCATTGAATATATTTTAGAAAACATTTTTTTTTTTTGATTTTTGAAGTGTCAAGGGCTATGGGGAGTAGATAAAATTTTGACATTGAGTTAGAGCATCAGCCTTGGCCAGATTGAATGGTAGAACCAATTCAAAGGGCCAAATAGCCTACTGCTGCTCTGGATTTCTAGATTTGTTTGTTCCTGTGACATACAATACCCTAAACAGATGATGAATGAAGCTTGGAGTACATCTCTTCACTCTGATAGGAACTGATCATCTTGCCTTTGTCAACTATTATCCTGACTACTGGGAGTTAGACCAGCTGATGTCAATGATTATGACAGACATGGTGGAACACCTGAAAGCAAACTCCAGTCATTTTAACATTCTGCAGATTGCGATGAATGGCTATGGTTCTCAAATCACGAGTTTGGAATTCAGTTGCCTTATAAAAGATTGGGAAACTCAACACATTATTTCATCCCCAGTCTTCTCTTCCAATAGTGAAAGAAAAAAGGAATGAATCCTGAGGTAGGAACAAGCATGAGCAACAAATAATGTGAAATGGCAGAAAACAAAATTTCCCTTTTATAAAACTGCCAGGTTATTGGCTTTCTAATGCTTATCTCTGGCAGTCAAAGTGCAAACATTCAACACTCTCCACAAGTCAGCCAACAGAGCAACTTGGGACCTGTATTAAGCATTGTCACCTCAATCGTACACGATGAATGACAGGACATATCATCACAACCCTTGGTGCCATGTCTGAACACATCTGTGCTTTCACTGCAGACAACTGATTAGGAAGATGTTATCTCATCACTGGCACAGAGTACAGAACAACACTCTGTGGAGAAGGAACCTCAATTTAGGAACAAGCAGGTACCAGAGAAATGACAAATGGAAATGCATACACATTAGAATTCTTGCATGATTTAAAGGCTA